GTCCTTTGGGAATCTTCTCCTTAGGAATGCAGATTTTGGCTTTTTAGAGTATCTTACTGACATGGCTCATTTACCTCCTTGCAAATCAAAAATCAAGGTCATGTCATTGGTTGTAAAGGTCAAGTTCTTTTTACCAACTATGAATGTTTTTGTTTTTTCATTGTAACGTTGGATTATTGCAACTACATCATCATCAGATTTCCTAGATTTTCTTGGATCCACCTTTCCAGTGGTTAGAGCTTGGATCAAATACCAAAATGGGGTCTTTTGAAGCTCTACAAGTTGGTTTAAATTGAATTTAAGTGTTTGAAAAAAGGAGATAACAGATGAGAGGTTGGATCGATATTGAATGTTGTAATGAGCTCTCTTTCTTTGGGAGTTTAACAGGCTTTTTTCCCCCTTGAGCTTAAGTCTTTTAAAGTTAGGATATTCATCTTGATGCTAGTTGCTTCATCACCTTGGACTTTTGTGTTTTGGCAAGGAGTTTGTGGTGTTTTGTTACTTTTTGATCTTAGATCATAAGAAGGCTGAGATAGTTTATGTTTCTTACTCGGTGTTTTCTGTGTTTTGATGCTTTTACGTTTTGCCATTTCTAGACAATGATGAAAACATAAAGATGTCAACATTAAATCCCAGAGAAAATTGAACATGTTAGAGAAAATTGGACATGTCAGAGAAAATTACACATAAGGGAGAAAACTAAGGTGGCCAAGGAAAATTATAAATGTTAGAGAAAATTAGACACTGAAAATTAAATGTCAAAGTACTAATTGTTTTCTTGTGGAATACATTTAGCCACAAAAATTTTCCATTCCCAGAGAAAATAACTAAAGCAACATAAACATGCTAGAGAAATTTTTAAAAATTGCTAAAAATTACATATAGCTGTAAAATATAGCCAGAGAAAATTCAAGAAAGAATCATAAACCTATCAAGCACAGAAAATGAAAATATCAGAGAAAATTACACATTCTAGAGAAAATTTCCAGTCTATAATATTAGAATGCCAGAGAAAATTAAACATGGTAGAGACACACAAGGGAGAAAAGTGATGTGGCCAGAGAAAATTATAAATGCCGGAGAAACTTAGACATAGACAAGAGAGTAATATTACATATAGATGTAAAATATAACCAGAGAAAATTCAAAAAAAAAAGCATAAATTTAGCAGGCACAGAAAATAAAAATGCCTGAGAACATTCCAGAGAAAAATAGACATTCCAAAGAAATTTACAAAGCAGATAAATTTACGGACAAAATAACACAAACATGTTCAAGAATAAGATCAAAACACAGAGAAATAACTCTTTTCAAAATAAACATGCCAGAGAAACTTCAAAGAAGAAACATACATCAAGCAAATACCAGAGAAATTTATAGATAAGATCACACAAACATATTTAAGAATAAGTTCAAAACACAGAGAAATAACTTTTTTCAAAATCATGTAGCTTTTTATTACGAAATTGAAACCCTAATTAATGGAAGGTTAATATAAAATGCAATTAACTGTGTTTCCAGAGAAAAACTAGTGGGATTGTAGAAAAACTTACTAGAGTTAGGATGAAACGCTAATTACGAACTGAAATGCCCTGAGATGATGATGCTATGTGACGAAGATGAACTGAGATGACAATGAACAGTGAAAATGGGGTCAGAGAAATTTGTGAGGAAGGAATGGGAATGATTTTTACAGAAGATAATGAAACTTTAATGTCGATGGTGAAGATGATATTGAAACCCTAATTCTGCTATTCTCTTGGTCGTGAAGATGGTTGGATGTTTTGTTTGGATCGGAACTCAGTCGTCGGAATGCAATTCATTTCTGTGTTGATTTGTGAAGGATATTTTGGTCCACGAAATAATTAAAAATGTACGCCATATAGTTCAGGGACCTGATGCATCACCCATTTTTTTGGTGTCTTTTATTCTTTAAATTACTATTATTAGGGACCTTAAAAAAAAACTCTCCTAAAAATAAATGTGAGAGAGATTTGAAAATTGAGATCACATTTTAGAAAATTGAATTTTTTATTTTTATATTTTAAATGCACCTAACCTAGATACACTTCAAATTAAAATATATATAGAAAAAATTTATAAAAAATTCATTAAATACAAAAAAAAGAGTATTTTTTTTGTATTGAATTTTTTAAATATCTTTTCACAAATATATATATATATTATTTTACTTTTTAGATGGGTTTAGAAAGTAAAAAATTTATTTAAAATATCTAAAAAATTCACTAAAAATAAAAAATATATATATAAAAAATAAAAAACTCGATTTTATGAAAATCACTCAAAACCAAACAAGGTGATTCTTTTTTATTTTACCTTGCTTGGTTAGCAAGTGAAGCTTCGATGCTTTTTTTTTCATGTATTGTTGGCGTACCAAGCAAGGTGATTCTTTTCTAGTATGGAGGGCCTAAGAAATATCTCCTTTTATTTTACCTTTCTTGGTTAGCAAGTGAAACTTCGATGCCATATTTATTTATTGTTGCTGTTTTTTCTTTTGTTTTGAATCCTTTTCATTGCAAGTTTTTATTCTTGAATTGTGTATACATTTAAAGTGTGCAATGACAATTGAATGATTGTATTATATGGTGCATGTGTAAATGAATCTGAACCATAAATTGATACTTCTCCATACATTTTTGAGTAAAATACCAAAAAAATTATGAATTTATAATATTGTTATTTTATTGTCATTCTTTGGACAAAGAACTACTTTCAATTGGGTTTTCTTAACTTCTTGTAATTTTAATTTGTAGGTATAGAATTAGTGGTTTTTTGAGGCAAGCGATAATTAATTTCTCTTTAAAATATGGATTCTTTTTTTTTTTTGTTTGTCTTCTAGTCATAGAAAAGAAAAGAAAAGAAAAGAAAAAAAACAAATGGAATTTATTGATAGAGCAATACAATATGGGTTTACACTAAAGTTTGACTCTCTTGGGAAATTAAAAAAAAAAATTATAGTTTAACCATTGTAATAAAATAAATTTTGAATTTTATTAATTTAAATTCTATTTTTTAAAATTTATTTTCAGTTTTGAACCATACGCTTATTTCTATCAAATAAAACAGATGGAGAAATATCATCTAAAATCTTTTTGATTTATTTTATTTGTTTATTTATATGAGCAATTTTTTTTATATATATTTTATTTTGGGTAAATTTCACTTTATTCTTTTGTTGTTTGCCCTATGTTCAAATCATTCCTATCATTTGAAAACAATCACATAATTTCTTGTGGTTTGTGAATTGAAATGCGCTGTTAGACATTTTGTCTAAGTTAACAAGTCTAAAACAAATGCCAACGCATAAGGAGTTATGTGTTTATTTCTAAATTTTAGCTGGTAAATTACACATGGAATAATGTACATGTAGTTAAAGTAAATTTTGCCACAAAATAAATAAATAAATAAAAATACTTATGATTTGCACAATGAGATTAGTTACATATAAGGATATTTTAATTTTAAAAATACTTAAATATATTTTATCGTCTAAGTTAACAACAAGTCTAAAACAAATGCCAAGGCATAAGGAGTTATGTGTTTATTTCTAAATCTTAGCTGGTAAATTACACATGGAATAATGTACATGTAGTTAAAGTAAATTTTGCCACAAAATAAATAAATAAATAAAAATACTTATGATTTGCACAATGAGATTAGTTACATATAAGGATATTTTAATTTTAAAAATACTTAAATATATTTTAATTTTTTAAAAGAAATAGAAGAAAAATAGATTCTCTAGATGAAAATTTTAAGAAACAAGATGTGAAAATTTGAAATTTTAGTTATAAATAACTCCTTATATAAACACATGCAATTTTTTAATTAAAAGGCTAGTTTAGATTGTATAACAAAATTAACTTGTTTTTATTTTTTATTTTCCACTACTTTTATGCCAAGCAAACTTATAAAATGTTAGGTTTTTGTGTGTGCGTGTGTCTTTCTTTCACTTTCTATCAATTTGATCCTAAAAAATAGAGTTTAAGATTGTATTTGATTGGAAGATTTGATGAGAAAAATAAAAAGAAAAAAGGAAATATAATATCACTTTTTGTTTGGTCATAATGAAAAAAACAAGAGAAAAGAAAATGTAATCTCTCTTTTTGTCTTTTGGGTTAATCTTGGCTTTTTTCTTTCCCCATTTCCCAACTCAATGAAACATAACTTGAAATTTGAATTCTATCAATTTGTTCTCATTTTGTTTCTATTTCCTTTTCTTTTTCATTTCACTCGTCAAATTTGTTGGAGCATATGATGGTAGAGTCCCACATTGGATAAAAAGTAAAAGAGATGAGTCTTAATATACATTAGATGAACTCTCTACTTACAAACTTAAGCTTTTAAGTGGATATGCGTTCCAAACAATGTATCTTGGGCTTTGATACGATATTTGTGAACTTTAGAGTTTCTCCCTAATAGATTAGGTCAGTATTGCTGTGTGTTTGTGGGCTCTCTAATTTCCTAACCAAATTCTCCAACCAAATGCCCTTTGGCCACCAAGTCTCTCTTAAAGGAGAGGTCTTGGGTTCCATCTTAGGAGTAGAATGGGAAAGTAACATTTTTTTGTAAGGTGTATGAGTGTGAGTTTCAACTCTCTCATGATACTAATCTAACAATTAACTACTGACTTTCCCTGATAAAAAAAAAATCCTTCAACCGAACACCAAGAATAAAGTAAAATTTAGCCATTTATTAAATCTTGATTTCTTTACTCTACTTATATTGCTTTTCTTATTGTGTTCTTTTCTTTTTTTGTCTATGAGGGAATAAAGTGAAATTTAGGCATTTATTAAATTTTGGTTTCTTTACTTTATATTGCTTTTCTTATTGTGTTCTTTTGTTTTTTTGTCTCTGTGGGTGCCACCCCCCCTCCCCTTTTCTTTTTCTTTTTTTTTTTTTTTTTTTTTTGTAATTAATACGCTTGCTGTCGATTATAAATTGAGTTTTCTTCCAATCATTTATCAACTGCTTTTCTTCTCTCATCATAAAGGAAGCCTCTTTTTAGCTGACGCAATATTAGTGAGGTGACTGATCAAGAAGTCTCAACAAGTAAGTTTTATGATTCAAATATTACGTAATTTTATTGTTAAGGTTGCTGTTATTTATGATTTAAAAATAAAAATTACATAACATTATTCGATAATTTGTGATTTAAAAATATGTGGATAAAAAATTTCTCATCATAAAGAAGCCTCTTTTTAGCTGACGCAATATTAGTGAGGCGACTGATCAAGAAGTCTCAACAAGTAAGTTTTATGATTCAAATATTACGTAATTTTATTGTTAAGGTTGCTGTTATTTATGATTTAAAAATAAAAATTACATAACATTATTCGATAATTTGTGATTTAAAAATATGTGGATAAAAAATTTATAATATTATCATAAAAATGTATTTGATATATATATATTCAAAGTCATATGGTATCTATGTGTAAGTGTTTGTCAAAAATTATATAGGGTCTATGTAGTTCTTGAATTATTGATTGACTCTATTTAGTCCATAAAATATATAAATTAAAGTCTATTTAATCTCTAAATTATTGATTGTATGCATTAAGTTCCTAAAATATTTAATTCAAATCTATTTACTCTCTAAAAAGATTCCAAAAATAAAATATATACTCATAAGTATTATAAATTAGTAAAAGACCGTACCTAATCAAGATTTTATTACAGAAAAAATTTAAAATTTTATTTTGTCTTTAAAAAGTATGTTATTTTGTTGTGTGTTTAAATTAGTATTAGAGTTTGGTTTCTCAGTCTTACAAATAAAATTATGAGTATTAGATATACCGAAAAAGTAGTTTTAGATAATTTAAATAAGGGCATAATTCATTTTATCTCCTTGTGGTATGACTTTTTTTTTATTTTTTTGATCAGCAAAGAAAAGGAAATTTATTGATGAATCAAAAAACTATTACATCAATAAAAGATAGAGATGGATGAGTGCAACAAGCATCATAGCGAACCTAATCAATCCCAACTAGGTTGGCACCAATAAGAACGCCCAATCATATGTTAGCACATCATCGCGAGTTGATGAGAAACCAACCACAAACATCAAAAACAACCACACCCAAAAAAACTAACCAAACCTGAAACAGACCAAGCACCCCACACTATCAAACAACAAAAAACTAAGGAAATGAGCGGACCAAAACCCAGAGTAATTGCTCCTTGTGGTATGACTTATTAGCACATTATCCTCCTGTCTTTTAAAAATAGTCATATACCCTCTACGTAGTTTTGGACTAAAGTGCAACCGTTAACTATAGATGTGAAATGACTATAATTCCTTCAAACCCTAAATTTTTTGTTATTTTCTTTTTCTTTCATCTCTCATACACATAATTTATAGGAAAAATTAGTGAAATATCTTTCTGCAACTTTGTGTAGTATGAAAAGTCCAAGATATTTTTTTTTTATATTAGCTAAGGTCCCTCGATGATATTTCTCTCTGATCATATTAGAGAAGTCAGATAAATTTCTCTGTGAAAATGAAATTTTTCTGTGTTGGGGTTGAAATTTCTGAGTCGGGCACAAATTTCTCTAAGTCGATATTTTCCTGTGAAAATATTGAAGGACCCCAACTATTATGAAAATATTATATATCTTTTATCTTATAAAATCTTAATATCAGGAATCTTAAAAAAAATTCTCTAATTTATAATGTCTACTATTAATTCAATTAATCACAATTAATTATAAATTCTTAATTATTTATTGTAATTCCTAAATTTTTATTCTAATTTTAATTTAATTATATTTTAGCTCACAAATAATCCTAAATATTTCACTATTTATTGTAATTACTAACTTTTTAATGTAATTTTAAGTTAATTATATTTTAGATCACAATTAATCCTAAATTCGTCATTATTTATTATAATTTCTAACATGTTAATCTAATTTTAATTTAATTATATTTTAGATCAATTGTTAATTCCTATTTATTTTATATTTTAATTTAATTTAACACTCCCCATAAGCCAAATCCACCGCTGAAGTCTCTCTTCTACTTCACTCCCCATAAGCCAAATCCCCCACCTGTTTCATCAGATCCATAAATTTATGTGAAAAATGCGTTCGAATTCTAATTCTTTAATTTTAAAGTTAATTTTAATAAATTGACAGTGGACCTTATCTATTGTAATGTGATGTTTTAATTTTGATTTTTGATTTTTTGATTTTTTTTTTGTCATATCATTAATATTTTATTAATATACCAAAATTAATATTCTGAATCATTACTGAATTTATATATACAATCGCGATTGGGAGTCAAATGATTTTGCAACACTAACCATCACAGGGGTAAAGAAAACCCAGAAAATGTCATATACAAAAAGTCCCGCCCCCCATTTTTTTTTTTTTTTTTTTTTTTTTAGCAGAAGGAGGAAGAAGGAGGAGGAGGAGGGGACTGGAGGGGGCATACTCACAGGGGGAGGAGAGGCGGAGGCAGGGCCGGAGGCGGCGGTCGGAGGCTGCGACGAGCTCGGCTGGGCCGACAACCGGCGACCGGCGACCTCTCTTCTCTCTCTCTCTCTCTCTCTCTCTTTCTCTCTTCTCTTTCTCTCCCTCTCCCTCTCTGGTTCAGACTGAAAATGGAAGAAGAAGAAGAAAAAATAAATAAATAAAAATAATGCCCAAAACGACGTCGTTTTGGGCATTAGGGACATTCGGGGCGCGAGAATTTCGGGAAAAAAACATTTCTCTTATACATATATGTATATATTGATGAACAAAAAATGAGTGACTTGACCATATGTTATAAAGTACTGAAAGTATGTTTGATTTATAAAGTAAAACATAATTTAGGCTAAGTTTGAGAAGTGTAAAAAAAGTCAAAAAGTCAAAAAGTTACTCAGAAAGTTAAAAGTTATCACTATTCACCAAAAGTCAAAAATTACGGCTGCACAACTCTCAATCATAATTTTTCCCTACACACTAATTCATACAATTTTTTAATATACATTTTTTTTATAAAAAGTCAAAAAGTTATCCCAAACATCCATATTTTTTCCCTCAACTTTTTAGTCCAAAAAGACAAAAAGTGCACTTATTTAGCACACCCCAAACAACTCCTTAATTATAGTAATATCTAATATTCAAATGCTGTTTCATGAATCCCAATAATTTCATTTTATTTACAAATAATTAAAATGTGAATTTGTTTTAACTTCTTAAAAAATAGAAATTCAAATAATATAGGATAAATTACAAATACACCATTTGAGGTCTGATTAAAATACGAATCGTCCTTGTGATTTTGGAAATTACATTCCACCCCCTGAGATTTCTAATTTCATAACAAATCGCCATTTTTATTAATAAATCAGTCAATAAACAGTTTTTAATGATATTAGAAATATATTTCGATTAATAATTTAGGTAATTTTATTATTGTATAGGAGAGCAATTATGAATTTTATTTTTTATTTAATTCTGTTAAATAAAAAATCCTAACAATGAGGTATTTGTAATTTTTCAAACCACATAGAATAATTTGTACTTTAAGCAAACCTCAAGGGATGTATTTGTAATTTACCCAATAATATATGCATTAATTAAAATAATAAATTTTACATTATTTATGTAATGTGAAATAGGTCTTATATTAAAATGTTATAAGATGTTATCTAATATTGATTTTAGAAATATTATTTCTTTTTAGGTATTCTATTAATAAAAATCAGTTTTTTTCCTGTTAAGTTTTTTAATTATATCTTAACAATTTTGGGGTCTTGTTTAATATTATATAGAATTTAAGAATTTTGTTCAACATTGCTAAAATATGCATGAGTGTTTGTTAATTTATATGCAAAATTTTAGGGAGGCGAATTAAATTTATTATTGAATAGATAAGGTAACTAAGGGGTTATCATGGCATTTAAATCTTATAATGTATGACATGAGCGAATTTTGTTTAATAGAGGATTAACCATGGAGAATCTTGATAATAATTTGAAAAGTAAGGTTGGTTAGTGTTATTATTAAAATCACAAGGGAGGTTTTTGAAATTATACTAAACCTCAAGGGATGTAAGTGTAATTTATCCTTATTTTTCAATTTTTTTTGATATAAGAGTATTCAACATTGAAAATTATATTTTATTGTCTTGTTCATTGTCTTTTAGAAAACTTATGTCTGAATTTGCATTTTAATTCATATTTCATAGCAAAGAAAACCAAGTTGAGAAAGAAATGCAATTTGCCTTGTTGATTAATTGTAGATCTGATTTAACTGATGGCATGAAAATTTGTACTATTATTTTTGACATATGGTCTGGAAAATTTGTGTGCACAGACATAGAGCATGTCAGAGACTAGTGCCGACCTTATGCTCGATATTGATAAAAAGCTTGATGAGTTACCTCCTATACCATCTGAACGTTGCATCTTTAGAGTACATGATCTACTACGCAACGAAAATGAAAAAGCTTATGAACCAAGCGTAGTTGCTATTGGTCCTTATCACCATGGTAAGGATAATCTGCAACCAATGGAAGAGCACAAATTACGCTACTTGCAACAGCTTCTTCAACGAAGAAATGAAACCAGTGTGGAAAGATACATCGCGGCGATGCAAGAATCTGAACAAAGAGCACGCAAGTTTTATGCAGAACCCATTAGCCTTGATTCAAATGCGTTTGTTAAAATGATGGTTCTTGACAGTTGCTTCATCGTTGAGTTGCTTCGCAAGTATGCGTTGAAATCCCCACAGACCCGAACGACTGCATTTTTCTGCTTGACCATATTGGATTTGGCACACGCCGTGATTTAATGTTATTTGAAAATCAACTTCCGTTCTTTATCGTCATGCAGTTGTTCAACATGACCAAAAATTCTAGTGACTCACTAGACAACCTCGTTGGCATGTTTGTTAGCTTTTTTGATCCGATACCACCAGGTAAACTTTTACAAGCTCCTGATGAAAATCCAAGAGAAGATGACATCGAACATCTTCTAGGCCTGTTGCATTATTGTTGTTGCAGTGAATTTCATTCAATGGTACCCCAAAGAAATACTGTTGGAAGAAAAGGTGAGTCCCTAAAATCTGCAAAAGAGCTCCAAGAAGCCGGGATCAAATTCAAGAAGATTGAGGGACGGAATATGTTCAACATAAGGTTTGTAAATCGGACAATGGAAATCCCAACTTTAAAAATTGAGGACGATACAGAGTGTTTTTTCAGAAATTTAATTGCATATGAGCAATACTATCCAGATACTTCATGGCATCATTTCACTGCTTATCACAAGTTTATGGATTGCCTCGTGAACACCTCAAAAGATGTCGAAATACTTATTCACTGTGGAATTATTCGTAGCTTTTTAGGTGAAAATGAAGTGGTTGCTACTATGTTAAACAAGCTCGGCAACAATATCATAATATCTGACCTAGGTTACGAAGAAGTTTATAACAAGGTGAATGAGCATTGCAGGGGGAAATGGAACACACAGTTTGCGACCTTAAGACGGGATTATTTCAACACCCCATGGGCATTCATCTCGTTTCTTGCTGCTGTTGTGTTGCTTTTGCTCACTGTGTTACAAACCATATTTAGTATTCATCCTGTGGGAAAATATAACTAGATATCTCTGCTTCAAGTCTTGTTTTGTTTCTTGTTATGCCGCTAAATAAAAGAAGCTAGACTATGTGAGGGAGGTAGGTTGGTTGGTTTTGTTACTCACTCTTGTTTTGGCTCCGCGATTCTTTGTTGAAGAATGGGAGCCTTGTGTGATGGTTTCTCTTCAATAATATCTCTTTCTACTGTTCAACATAAAAACAAATATGTATATATATATTGACCAATTAGTTGAATGGCTTGGAAATGAGCTGTGATTGAGACCCTTAATAAGAAATTTCCACCATTTTCACGCACACATGGCGAGGGGTAATTGGAAGAGAAAAAAAAAAGAAAAAAAAAAATTGGCCAATCACAAAACGAGAGGTGAGGGGGAAGGGGTCTTGATCATTTTTCTTTGGAAATTTCAATCATTTTACTTTGGGTTGACACGTGTCAGCCTATTCTTCTTTCAGTATTCTTCTTTCGGAACTCAGTGCCACATAAAATTCAATACATTTAGGGATGTTTGATTAGTAAGATTGATAGCGAGAATTATGAGATTAGTATTGGATTAGTTATTTAGTTGGATTAGTGAGGTATATAATTTTCTTTTGTTTATATTTGTTTTGTAATAAATATGATAAAAAAAATATAATTTCAATTATATGTATGTTTTGCATTATTAATTATCGTATTAAAATATTTATCAATTTTGTTGGACAGAATGACCATTGGAATATAATTTGAATAATAAAATTTACAACTAAACAATAGACTGCAAATCTTATAGATTAATAATACCAATCCTATACTATATTCCGCTAGATCAAACAAGCCAAGGTACAAATTAGGTGCAAATAAAAATACACAAATTATATTCTACAAAAAAAAAAAAAATACACAAATTTTTTTAAAAAAAATCTAATTTACCATGTTTGGTTCTAGAAAATTTAGTCAACTTTTCAAATATTCCACACAAGAAAAAAAAAAAAAAAACACAAATTTTTTAAAAAAAATCTAATTTACCATGTTTGGTTTTAGAAAATTTAGTCAACTTTTCAAAAAATTGAATTTTTTTATTTTTAGTGTTTTTTATTTTATTTTTAGTGAATTTTTTAATATTTTACTCAAAAAATTTATTTTTTTGGATACACCTAATCTAAATACGCTTAAAAATTATAATATTTGTGAAAGAAAAAAAACCAAATACAAAAAAAAAAAAAAAATTCAATACATTTTCGTATTTTATTATATTAAATGAATTTAAAAATTAATTAAAAATTTATTAAAAGTATAAAAGTACAAATTAAAAATTTTAAAAATTGTTTTTAAAAACTTAAAACCAAACTTGCTTATTGGTTTTGCTTTCTTAAAAAAATTATTTTTGATTGGTTTTTAAAAATGGAGAAAGTCGAAATGGCTCATTTTCAACAATCTTGAAAGATCAAAGTAACAATTACCCCCGTGGCGTGGAAAGGCACTAGTCTTTCTGCAGGACTTTGATTTCTGAGGGTGGACTCATTTATTTAGTGAAGTTGGTAATGTTATATTTTGTTTGACTTTGCCTTCTGTGTGTTAAGAGTTGTGTATTTTCTACTCATTTTGGTGGTAGTTCCCTTCATTTGAGTTGGGTTAAATTTGATTATCAATCAATTATTTCGGAGTCAAGGTTCATGGATGTTATGATATCTCTATGGAATATATATATATATATATATTTGGTGTTAAAAAAGGTAACAATTAGTAATTAAAATAAAATTAAAAAAAGTAGTAGTCCATTGTCATTGTATGGAAATAGGGGTTAATGGTCCAGTTTGGATCGATTTTGGATAAAATGAGGACCGATTCATTGTCTACGATTCCATAAAAATTTGAACTAAGCCAAATCATTAAAATTTTGGAACCAATCTGATCCAAACCATTTAAACATGGTACGATTCAGTTCGATTTGGAACTATAGTTTCACATAATATGTATACAAAAAATCATATAATATTTTCAAAAAATTCAACCTATTAGAAATTTAAAAATAATAATATGTTCATCAAACAAACTACTTTTATAATATTTATCAGTTAAGCAAAACATAACATTAAGCAAACATTGTTCAATATTAATTTGTCATGATTTTTTGAAATATAAACTTTGACATTGTTCCACCATTAATATGAACAAACATAATACCTAGTAAATAAACATATATGGTTTAAGTTATGGGAAATCCTTGGTGCCTCAAATTGAGCTACCTCGAATGGTTCGAATTTCAATCATTAAAATTTTGGAACCGATCCGATCCAAACCATTTAAACATGGTACGATTCAGTTCGATTTGGAACTATGGTTTCACATAATATGTATACAAAAAATCATAAAATATTTTTAAAAAATTCAACCTATTAGAAATTTAAAAAATAATAATATGTTCATCAAACAAACTACTTTTATAATATTTATCAGTTAAGCAAAACATAACATTAAGCAAACATTGTTCAATATTAATTTGTCATGATTTTTTGAAATATAAACTTTGACATTGTTCCACCATTAATATGAACAAACATAATACCTAGTAAATAAACATATATGGTTTAAGTTATGGGAAATCCTTGGTGCCTCAAATTGAGCTACCTCGAATGGTTCGAATTTCTGTTCACCGGTCGACCGACCGAACAACCGGGTGAAATACTTGTCTACCACGGTTGTCACCTTGTCGACCGCGGCTGTCAGCCTTTTTACCCGATGATCGGCTGGACGACCGGCAAAGTGAAATTCGAGCCATTCGAGCAAAGCTCAAATTCAAGATACGTAGCATTACTCTTAAGTTATATGGTCCGGTTCGGTTTTAATCCGGAATCGTCGACCTAAATCCAAAATCAATCTGCGGAGACTGATTTCCTAATTTCCCAAATCAAGACCGAAACATGAATTAAAAATACTAAATCAAACCTATCGAATTAGTCTAGTCCGATTCAGTTTTCAGATTTTTCGATTTCCTTATCATTTGTAATCACTCAATTATAAATTTATTACAATCCATTGAGCCTGTGCAAATTAAAAATAACAAACAATTCAAGGTAAATTTGTCATTTAATATTTAAAATGATCAATCCATTGGAGCGCGTGTGTCCAATTTAAAATGATTAATTCTCTTTCGAAAATTTTATTATCTTATTTTTAATTTCTTAATATATATTATTAATTGAATTAAATTAATATATATATATATATATAAATTTAAAGGACAAAATTGACACTGTAATGACCCCAATTTTTTTTTTAAATAGTCAGCGCATAATTTAATCGAGCAAATTTTCGAATTTGATTGCCGTGTAAATTTTGTGCCAAAAAAGTTTCGTTTTGTATTTTTTAAAAATATTTTCTGATCTCAAAAGATTATGAAATTTTTATATGTTGTTTCCATATGAGTCTAGCACGTTGGATAAAAATTTCAGAATTTAATGATGAGTATTTATTTTATGAAAATTCACGGACTGATTGGTGTTCAATTTAATTTATAGCAGAATTTAAAATTGAGTTTTGAGTGTTCGGATCATGATTTGAGATAAATTTGATGGGTCTATTTTGGTCATTTTAAAATGTGATTGGTAATAATCACCTTGGGAGTTGTTATTATTTATTATCTATTTTGGTCCTATATAATAAATAGTTGATAGTTGATTTTATGGTGTATACCGTATGAGAAAAATTATATATTTTTGTAGTAAATAAAATGAGCATATATTTCGTGGTGAGCAAAATATTATATTTTGTGATGTGTACAAGAAAACAAAATATATTTTTGTGGTGAGAAAATATTATATTTACTTTGTCATTAAAGATATTGAAATGTACTTTTAGTTGATATATATAATATATATATATTGGTGTATATATATATAGATAGATGTTTGAAATAAAATAAAAATAAAAATAAAAATAAAATATATTTAATCAAGAGAGGCAACACATGAGCCACCCCCTCTTCTCTTTTTCCTTTTACTTTGATTTCCTTTCTCTTTGTTTTGGAGAAGCAGAGCTTCATCATCTGTCTCTTTCTTTCTTTCTATTCCCTCATTTCTCTCATCTTCCTCTAAACACTACCACAAACCTTTAATTCTTTTCTTGATCTAGCAAGATCCATTAAGTTTTAAACCCTAGTTCTTGATGCCAAAATGAAGAGCTTGGCGAGAGTAACATTTTGACCGGTAGAGATCGAAATTTGACAAAATCGAAATTTTAGAATTTTGCTTGTTTCCTTTTCTAGCTTGAGGTAGAGATTTTTCCTACACTTCTTTATGCACTTTTACTTGATTATAGGGAGTTTAGAGTTGTATATAATTTAATTAGAGTTTTTGAAAATTTTGTGATTTATTTGCTTAAAAGAGAAATTTTGAGAAAAATAAAAAGCTTATAACCAAATTGCGAAAGTGTATACTTGGAATATATTTGTAAGGTTATAAAAGAGTTATGTTTTAAATTTGAACAAAAACGGTCTTCGATTCGATTAGTTTTGAAATTTGTACCAGTTTGTGACCAAAAAAGCATTTTAAAAAAATAAATAAAGGAATTACGTTTAACTTTTGGGGCTTTCGATCAAAATAGGATGTCATGATTGAATAATGCTTGGAGAATGAGTTTGGAAAGAAAATGATGTTTTCTTGGGCGTTAACGGTATTATTTTGTTTAATGTATTTGTTAGAATAAAACTAGCACGGTTATAAATTGACCTTAAGAGGTTAGCGGACGTGATTGCGATATGAAAACTAGTATAGTTGTTCATATTTGATAAGATATGGAATAGATTGTATTTATCAAAAAAATTTTGGAATTTATTTATTTAAATATCCGTTTAGAAATATTTGTTTTTGGCTATCGGTGGAAGATAGCCATGATTGTTGTAGAAATGCATGAGATTTCAGTAAATTGAACCACATTCCTCATTTGTTGCATTGGACATTGCATTACATTCAGTTCATTGAAAATGTATCTGTTTTTGGAAAATGTTTGGAAATGTATTTGTTTGCGAAAAGATGAATACTTGGTGAATCTGGAAAGGGGGTGTAGAACCGCACGGTTAGTTGTCGAGCCTTCCAGTTTATTGGTAAAAATGACAATGGTAGTGCATTAGGGCCTACTTGCAGGCACTCACCTAGAGATTTACAGAGCCTGTATTCATGTAACAGATATGGTTTAAAATAGAAATGGTTTTATATA